CAATTTATTTTTGAATTAAAAATGCATCAAATAAAATAAAATTCATTTCTTGTATTACACAAGATAATTTTTTAAGATTATACACTCGTAAATAATATAAGTCATTCATATCGAATATTTTATTTTTTTCAAAAACTTTAATTTTTATATATTTGTATAAATAAATAATTATGCCAATTAACAAAATTTTCAAGAAATAATTATTGCCATGCCACTATAGTATGGTAAAACTAATTTGTCTTGGTTCAAACTTTTTATTTTAGATAAGTTTTGGCTTACTTTAATAAAAAAAAAAAAAAAGTAGTTGCTTTTTATTAAATATATTTAGTACCATTCCCATATCATAGATTTATATACTTAGTCTATATTTAATACATAGATTTTATATTTTATCTGTAAATGATAAGAGGAGATCATTTCATTAATAAGCAAATATCTATTTTTAAAATAAATATATAAAATTTAATATTTTAATAAAATTACATATTAATGAGGAGATAACAGCCTGATTTATTTCTTTAATGAGATTATACTAATTCATTCATAGTATATAAAATTTTATACATTATAATCAAATAAATATAAACCCTTAAATAATTATAGAAAAAAGTCTCAATCATTCAAAAACTTTTCATGCATATTGTGAATAAATTACTAATTAATTTAATAATATTGCTCCTATTAACCTTAATTTTTAAAAAATTAGTCATCTAAAATTGACCAAGTGGACGGTGGAGATGTGGTAAAGCAGCGTAATCGTGGAAACCACGATGCAGAGGACACAAATTAAGGCAAAGACAGACGGGTGGTCCTGGGGGGTTTATTTCAGTCTCTTTTTAGTTTTTTCGTGTGAGAGTTAAAAAACGAGAAAGGAGATTTGTATTTGACAGTCTCTTTGAGTTTTAGGGGTTTCTATCTTTCATTTGCTCTCCAAATTTCAGGTAATTTTTTTTCTGTGAAACCTGTTTGGTTGCAGTGTTTTTGTCTCGTGTTTTTCTTCGTTGGACTTTTTTTACTGGTTTTTTGATGTATTTTTGAAAGGTCCTTTGTTTTTGATGTATTTTTGATGGTTTTTTTACTTGCTTTTTGGACTTTGCAATGCTGCTTCAATGGGTGGCTTTTTTCAAAGGATTTTCTTCTTTTTTGAGTATGATCTGATCTTCGTTGCCATTTTTTTTGTTTCTAGTTTTTCAATAAACACTTCAAGTTTGCAACTTTTTTGCTGCTTTTTTTTTTTTTTTTCTATTTTTAAAGACTGTAGTTTTTCGTCCAGTGTAGAGCATATTTTCTATTTGAAAGATGTATACCTTTCCGTAACCTTTGTTATTTTATTTTATTATTCAGTTCTTTTATAGTAAAAAAGGTTTCTTTTTTGTCATCTTGTAATCAGCCATTTAGAAAGTTGTTACATTTTTGCTTCAGTTGGGATTTTTAACTCCGTTTACAAGTTTTTGTCGCTTCATGTACTCTTTCTCCTGCAGTTATAGTCTTTTACTGTCTCTTGATGTGCTAAAGGTATTTACGTTTCGGTATTTTTTTCCTTCTATCCCTTAATGATGCAATATATTTGGTTAAAGTTTTGACTTTTATGCTAAAAACAGCACCTTTTTGCCTCTTCATGTTAACCATTTTAGTGCACAGCAGCATTAGTGCCTCTGGGTTCAAGCTCATATTCTTAAAGGTTCCCTTTTTTTTTTTTTTTGGTACTCTAAGGGTTTCTTTCTTTTTTTTTTTTTTTTTTCCTTTGTGCTTATTTCTCTATTTTTTTTTCTTGTGTAAGTTCCAGCATTCATCAACATACGCTTTATTTATTTATTTTTTTGCTACAGATCCTCTGATTTTTAGGTAATATTTGCATCCTTTGTAAACACGTCTTTCATTTGCATCCATGTGGTTTCTTAAGCATTTTGTTAGGAAAAAAAAAATCTCATTTTTAAATATTATATAGTTTTGGTGCCTTGACTTTGTTTCTTTTTTGGCGTATGAGCATATTGACTTTGTTTCCCTTTGTGGCGTATGAGTATATTGCCAGAAAAAAAAATTGTATAGATGGATGAGTTTCAAGATTGTGATATGTCAAGGTTAATTGCTTTTAGTCTTTTCGTTTTTGTTGAAAATAAATAATTTATCAAGTTAAAAGTATGAATTACTTTTTGCACGAAATGGTTATAGCTAATCTTTTTCTGCGTGAAATGATACTATTACGTACTTACTTTTTAGGGAATTTGTGTTGTAGCTAATAGTATTTTTATTTTCTTTCACGTAAGAAAAATTTTCTTGGTTGGGATATGGACTCGTCTGAGAAAGAGGGAAGTGGGGCAACGGGCTCTCTTCCCCCTCCCCCGCCTCTGCCCCCCAATGTGGTACCAATCAAAGCAGAATCTGAGCCTGCAAAGGAGGTTTCACGTGTCCCAATGGCCGGGAAAGGTCTTGGATCCCATATAATAGTTTGTCGTTTTTTGCTTGATTCTGTATTTCTATTTCTTAAAGGTGTTTGTTTCTAATCTTACTTTGGATTGCACTTGCTCCTATTTGGTATGCGCATTTGGCAGCTTCGCAGTTGGGGACTTTCCTGAAGTTTGATGAGGCTCCTGAGACATCCTCAAGCCGTAGTGGGGCGACTGCTCCTGAGACATCCTCAAGCCGTGGTGGGGTGACTGCTCCTGGAGCCACACCTGTTCGGCAGCTGCCGTGGTTGAACAGGACTGTCGCCGATTCTATGTTCTTCTGCTGAGACCTTCGGACCATGCTTTCTATAGGCTTTTGGTTTTACCACCAACTGATCTGAAACTCTTTTTAAGTATATTTAAACTTTAGAGGTAGGGCTATCCCAGACTTGTTCTGATGATGATGTGCTGTTCTCTGAATCATCATCCGCCATGTTTTCTATAGGCTTTTGGTTTTACCACCAACTGATCTGAAACTCTTTTTAAGTATATTTAAACTTTAGAGGTAGGGCTATCCCAGACTTGTTCTGATGATGATGTGCTGTTCTCTGAATCATCATCCATTTTGGTTATAAACTTTTTGGATGGTTGGCCCCCCACCGTATCTAAAGATATGAATGCTTGACTAGGTAATTCACAGTGGCTTTTTCCTGTTTGGTTTAGAGAAGTGGTTATACTACTGCCCTTTACTCTGTTCTCTTATTTACCGTTAGGCTTGGGTATCAGTTAACCAGTTAGATGTGGCTTCCGAGTAACTACTTTTGTTGGTTTCTGATGCTTAGAAAACTATACCATTTCGTTATTACTTCCCTATTATATAACGTAATGCTTTTCCAAGTCGCTGGTAAATCAAAATTGGAATTGGCCCAATTAACCGAATTAGAAGCCTTTGCGCAATTTGCTTCTGATCTCGATAAAGCTACTCAGAATCGATTGGCAAGAGGTCAACGATTACGTGAGTTGCGAGAATGAGTTATATTTCTAGCTTATTTAACTTTTCAGGAAAGAGTTTGTTCGTTTTGGGTATATATACTACTGCCCTTTACTCTGTTCTCTTGTTTACTGTTAGGGTTGGTTATCAGTTACTTAACCAGTTAGATGTGGCTTCTGAGTAACTACTTTTGTTGGTTTCTGATGCTTAGAAAACTATACCATTTCGTTATTACTTCTCTATTATATAATGTAATGCTTTTCTGTGGCAAGAATGAGTTATATTTCTAGCTTATTTAACTTTTCAGGAAAGAGTTTGTTGGTTTTGGTAGGAAAAAAAATAGCATACAAAAATTTATCGACAATACTCCCTCTTAAAAACGAATCTCTACTGTTTCACGTAGCAAAGAAAAAAGAAACACCAATATTTCAAAGGAGTCTCCATTTCAAAACGATGGCAACCGTAACAAGCAGGATCAACTTTCCAGAATTGTTTGTTGCTCATTTAGGAACATAGATTATTTAAATTTATGATGTTAAACTTGTTTAAATTTTAGAACTAGGCTGCCTTTCATGGTTTGTCAAAAAAATGGTGATTTTAGATATTTTTAGTATTTTCAATGCTTAGAGAGAGTATACTTTTAAATTTGTTCAGTTTTTACTTATTTAAGTGTGTAGATAGTTTAAATTTTTCATGTCAAATTTATCTCATGGGTAGAATTATGTTGTCTTACTTGATTTGTTATTAACTTGGATGAATTTATGGCTTTTTGGAACTTTTAATGACTATCAAGGGTAAATTCTCAAGCATTTGTAGTTGTTTCTTATTTATGCACATTGATAGCTTAGGTTTATGATATTAATTTTGCTTAAATATTATAACAATTCTCACTCGTTCCGCTTGACGAAAATTTTTGTGATTTGAGTCTTTTTAAGCATTCTTTACGCCTTAAAAATTTTAAGCCAAGTTCTTTGCTCTCTCTCTCTCTCTTTTTAAGTATGTAGACAACTTAAACTTGATATATTAAACTTACTCAAATGTTAAATAAGGTTATGAGATTTTTTTTTTTTCACTATCATTCTTAAAATTTTTAGTTATTAGAATCGATTATTGGTTGAATTACAAGAAGAATTTTTTATTGGTTTGAGTTTTGGTAAAGTGATGATTTTGTATGATATTACATATTTTTTAAAGCATTTAATATTTCTACTCCTATTGACACCACAATCTATTATCAGAGATTGTACATGATTTTCGATTGATTTTTCAGCCTAGTTGCACCTGTTTAATTTAAACTTAATTTTAACATTTTTAATCAAGAATTCCATATTGGGCCTTGATGGGCTTTAATCCTTGAGGTCATTTTTCCTTAGGGATTTATTTTATTTGGGCTTGAAACCAACTTTTGGAATTATGGTTAAAGGATTTTCTGCCTCTTTTTTTCATAGTAAGAAAGGCATGAGCAAATAAACACAAAAGAAAGTATTAGCAAACATATTTATGAAACATTTCTCGCCTTTTTGTTTAACTTTTTTATACTAATATCAAAACCCTATACCATTGCTATAAACATACAAAAAAAAATATTTATAAACTCTCCCTATTTCTTATTATTGTAAAAGAAAGAAAGATCAATTCAATGCATATGATAAAATGCTTGATACCAATAACATCACAAGTATTTTGAACTAATTTTTGTGTAACGTTATAGTGTGGTAGCAGCATGAGTTTTATGCAAGTGTTTTATTGCGATAGAAAGCACGAGTTTTACCCATGTGTCATCAAAATCACATCACGGTTATATCCATAACTATGTGGTCTTCAATATTATTTTCCTTTTCATTTTTAATTTTCCTTTTATCGAAATTACCCTTTTTTACCCAACCCAGTTTCCTCGTCAATTTAACACACCCTGCGATTTAAAGAGGACAAATCCGTAATTTTGAGATTTCACTAATTTACAACCGTCAAATTGGAAAGTAATAAAAATTAATATTCTTTCTAAAAATCAAATTTTCGTAACTGAGGTAGTGATATAACTGTTCTGGCACCCAAATGCGTGTGCTTCAGTGCCTGGGCAATTAAAAAGTAGAGTAATGATCCAATGCAATCTCACCTTCCATCATGATCAAATCAAAGATGTCCAATTCCTTCAATTCGTTTTCAACAAATCATCGATGACATGTGCAAACTTTTCGTAGTTTGCTTGAATTCTATGCATATAAACTCTATTAATTTGAAGCCCGGCTTAGGCTCAGAAGCGTTTAAATGCGATGATCACTTGGTTCGATTCTAATAGATGGCTTTCTATATTTGTTTGCTTTTTTATTTTTACATAATTGATAATATATATTTTTTGAAATCAAACAAAATTGAAAATGCTTTTTCGCCTCGCGATCTTCCTATTATAAGGAAGCCTATAGAAGTGAGAATGAAAGGGGGAAGGGAAATCCTATAGGTTGGATTGCTTGTGTGTCCATGGGACAAATCCCATTTGAAATGGATGGTGTGAATTTGTTAATGCTCTGAGGCAATTGCTAACATTCTAAGGATGTAATTTTTGAATAATTAGTTGATTGAAATAAAATAAAAAATAAAATAAAAGTAATTTATGTTTGATAATATAAATAATTTTAAGTATAATGTGTATTTAATGTGTTTGAAAAAAAAAAAAGAGAGAAGTTTTAAAAATTAGAATAATAATAATGAAGTTAATTTGTTTTGATAAATTTAATTTAATTTAATTTAAATTTATTTGATCATCTATTAATAATTTTAAAATCCACATATTATATGTATATGCATACATAATTTAAAAGGTAGAGCTAATAGATTATATTTTTATAAGTTGGAAAGTGTATATATTTTTAATAAATGTAATTCAAGAGTTAAAATTATTTTATTTATTAATAATGGGAATCAACGTTGTATTATTTTTATATGAAATTTAATTAAGAGTAATTTAAGATAAATAATAAAAAAAAAACACAATCAATTTATTTTTGAATTAAAAATGCATCAAATAAAATAAAATTCATTTCTTGTATTACACAAGATAATTTTTTAAGATTATACACTCGTAAATAATATAAGTCATTCATATCGAATATTTTATTTTTTTCAAAAACTTTAATTTTTATATATTTGTATAAATAAATAATTATGCCAATTAACAAAATTTTCAAGAAATAATTATTGCCATGCCACTATAGTATGGTAAAACTAATTTGTCTTGGTTCAAACTTTTTATTTTAGATAAGTTTTGGCTTACTTTAATAAAAAAAAAAAAAAAGTAGTTGCTTTTTATTAAATATATTTAGTACCATTCCCATATCATAGATTTATATACTTAGTCTATATTTAATACATAGATTTTATATTTTATCTGTAAATGATAAGAGGAGATCATTTCATTAATAAGCAAATATCTATTTTTAAAATAAATATATAAAATTTAATATTTTAATAAAATTACATATTAATGAGGAGATAACATCTGATTTATTTCTTTAATGAGATTATATAATTCATTCATAGTATATAAAATTTATACATTATAATCAAATAAAATATAAACCCTTAAATAATTATAGAAAAAAATCTCAATCATTCAAAAACTTTTCATGCATATTGTGAATAAATTACTAATTAATTTAATAATATTGCTCCTATTAACCTTAATTTTTAAAAAATTAGTCATCTAAATTGACCAAGTGGACGGTGGAGATGTGGTAAAGCAGCGTAATCGTGGAAACCACGATGCAGAGGACACAAATTAAGGCAAAGACAGACGGGTGGTCCTGGGGGGTTTATTTCAGTCTCTTTTTAGTTTTTTCGTGTGAGAGTTAAAAAACGAGAAAGGAGATTTGTATTTGACAGTCTCTTTGAGTTTTAGGGTTTCTATCTTTCATTTGCTCTCCAAATTTCAGGTATTTTTTTTCTGTGAAACCTGTTTGGTTGCAGTGTTTTTGTCTCGTGTTTTTCTTCGTTGGACTTTTTTTTACTGGTTTTTTGATGTATTTTTGAAAGGTCCTTTGTTTTTGATGTATTTTTGATGGTTTTTTACTTGCTTTTGGACTTTGCAATGCTGCTTCAATGGGTGGCTTTTTTCAAGGATTTTCTTCTTTTTTGAGTATGATCTGATCTTCGTTGCCATTTTTTTGTTTCTAGTTTTTCAATAAACACTTCAAGTTTGCAACTTTTTTGCTGCTTTTTTTTTTTTTTTTTTTCTATTTTTAAAGACTGTAGTTTTTCGTCAGTGTAGAGCATATTTCTATTTTGAAAGATGTATACCTTTCGTAACCTTTGTTATTTTATTTTATTATTCAGTTCTTTTATAGTAAAAAAGGTTTCTTTTTTGTCATCTTGTAATCAAGCCATTTAGAAAGTTGTTACATTTTTGCTTCAGTTGGGATTTTTAACTCCGTTTACAAGTTTTTTGTCGCTTCATGTACTCTTTCTCTGCAGTTATAGTCTTTTACTGTCTCTTGATGTGCTAAAGGTATTTACGTTTCGGTATTTTTTTCCTTCTATCCCTTAATGATGCAATATATTTGGTTAAAGTTTTGACTTTTATGCTAAAAACAGCACCTTTTTGCCTCTTCATGTTAACCATTTTAGTGCACAGCAGCATTAGTGCCTCTGGGTTCAAGCTCATATTCTTAAAGGTTCCCTTTTTTTTTTTTTTTTGGTACTCTAAGGGTTTCTTTTACTTTTTTTTTTTTTTTTTTCCTTTGTGCTTATTTCTCTATTTTTTTTTTCTTGTGTAAGTTCCAGCATTCATCAACATACGCTTTATTTATTTATTTTTTTGCTACAGATCCTCTGATTTTTAGGTAATATTTGCATCCTTTGTAAACACGTCTTTCATTTGCATCCATGTGGTTTCTTAAGCATTTTGTTAGGAAAAAAAAAATCTCATTTTTAAATATTATATAGTTTTGGTGCCTTGACTTTGTTTCTTTTTTGGCGTATGAGCATATTGACTTTGTTTCCCTTTGTGGCGTATGAGTATATTGCCAGAAAAAAAAATTGTATAGATGGATGAGTTTCAAGATTGTGATATGTCAAGGTTAATTGCTTTTAGTCTTTTCGTTTTTGTTGAAAATAAATATTTTATCAAGTTAAAAGTATGAATTACACTTTTCTGCACGAAATGGTTATAGCTAATCTTTTTCTGCGTGAAATGATACTATTACGTACTTACTTTTTAGGGAATTTGTGTTGTTGCTAATAGTATTTTTATTTTCTTTCACGTAAGAAAAATTTTCTTGGTTGGGATATGGACTCGTCTGAGAAAGAGGGAAGTGGGGCAACGGGCTCTCTTCCCCCTCCCCCGCCTCTGCCCCCCAATGTGGTACCAATCAAAGCAGAATCTGAGCCTGCAAAGGAGGTTTCACGTGTCCCAATGGCCGGGAAAGGTCTTGGATCCCATATAATAGTTTGTCGTTTTTTGCTTGATTCTGTATTTCTATTTCTTAAAGGTGTTTGTTTCTAATCTTACTTTGGATTGCACTTGCTCCTATTTGGTATGCGCATTTGGCAGCTTCGCAGTTGGGGACTTTCCTGAAGTTTGATGAGGCTCCTGAGACATCCTCAAGCCGTAGTGGGGCGACTGCTCCTGAGACATCCTCAAGCCGTGGTGGGGTGACTGCTCCTGGAGCCACACCTGTTCGGCAGCTGCCGTGGTTGAACAGGACTGTCGCCGATTCTATGTTCTTCTGCTGAGACCTTCGGACCATGCTTTCTATAGGCTTTTGGTTTTACCACCAACTGATCTGAAACTCTTTTTAAGTATATTTAAACTTTAGAGGTAGGGCTATCCCAGACTTGTTCTGATGATGATGTGCTGTTCTCTGAATCATCATCCGCCATGTTTTCTATAGGCTTTTGGTTTTACCACCAACTGATCTGAAACTCTTTTTAAGTATATTTAAACTTTAGAGGTAGGGCTATCCCAGACTTGTTCTGATGATGATGTGCTGTTCTCTGAATCATCATCCATTTTGGTTATAAACTTTTTGGATGGTTGGCCCCCCACCGTATCTAAAGATATGAATGCTTGACTAGGTAATTCACAGTGGCTTTTTCCTGTTTGGTTTAGAGAAGTGGTTATACTACTGCCCTTTACTCTGTTCTCTTATTTACCGTTAGGCTTGGGTATCAGTTAACCAGTTAGATGTGGCTTCCGAGTAACTACTTTTGTTGGTTTCTGATGCTTAGAAAACTATACCATTTCGTTATTACTTCCCTATTATATAACGTAATGCTTTTCCAAGTCGCTGGTAAATCAAAATTGGAATTGGCCCAATTAACCGAATTAGAAGCCTTTGCGCAATTTGCTTCTGATCTCGATAAAGCTACTCAGAATCGATTGGCAAGAGGTCAACGATTACGTGAGTTGCGAGAATGAGTTATATTTCTAGCTTATTTAACTTTTCAGGAAAGAGTTTGTTCGTTTTGGGTATATATACTACTGCCCTTTACTCTGTTCTCTTGTTTACTGTTAGGGTTGGTTATCAGTTACTTAACCAGTTAGATGTGGCTTCTGAGTAACTACTTTTGTTGGTTTCTGATGCTTAGAAAACTATACCATTTCGTTATTACTTCTCTATTATATAATGTAATGCTTTTCTGTGGCAAGAATGAGTTATATTTCTAGCTTATTTAACTTTTCAGGAAAGAGTTTGTTGGTTTTGGTAGGAAAAAAAATAGCATACAAAAATTTATCGACAATACTCCCTCTTAAAAACGAATCTCTACTGTTTCACGTAGCAAAGAAAAAAGAAACACCAATATTTCAAAGGAGTCTCCATTTCAAAACGATGGCAACCGTAACAAGCAGGATCAACTTTCCAGAATTGTTTGTTGCTCATTTAGGAACATAGATTATTTAAATTTATGATGTTAAACTTGTTTAAATTTTAGAACTAGGCTGCCTTTCATGGTTTGTCAAAAAAAATGGTGATTTTAGATATTTTTAGTATTTTCAATGCTTAGAGAGAGTATACTTTTAAATTTGTTCAGTTTTTACTTATTTAAGTGTGTAGATAGTTTAAATTTTTCATGTCAAATTTATCTCATGGGTAGAATTATGTTGTCTTACTTGATTTGTTATTAACTTGGATGAATTTATGGCTTTTTGGAACTTTTAATGACTATCAAGGGTAAATTCTCAAGCATTTGTAGTTGTTTCTTATTTATGCACATTGATAGCTTAGGTTTATGATATTAATTTTGCTTAAATATTATAACAATTCTCACTCGTTCCGCTTGACGAAAATTTTTGTGATTTGAGTCTTTTTAAGCATTCTTTACGCCTTAAAAATTTTAAGCCAAGTTCTTTGCTCTCTCTCTCTCTCTTTTTAAGTATGTAGACAACTTAAACTTGATATATTAAACTTACTCAAATGTTAAATAAGGTTATGAGATTTTTTTTTTTTCACTATCATTCTTAAAATTTTTAGTTATTAGAATCGATTATTGGTTGAATTACAAGAAGAATTTTTATTGGTTGAGTTTGGTAAAGTGAGATTTTGTATATATTACATATTTTTAAAGCATTAATATTTCTACTCCCTATTGACACCCAATTTTATCAGAGATGAATGATTTTCGATTGATTTTTCAGCCTAGTTGCACATTTTAATTTAAACTTATTTTAACATTTTAATCAAAATTTCATATTGGGCTTTGATGGGCTTTATCTTAGGATTATTTTTCCTTAGGGATTTATTTTATTTGGGCTTGAAACCAATTTTGAATTATGGTTAAAGGATTTTCTGCCTCTTTTTTTCATAGTAAAAAGGCATGAGCAAATAAACACAAAAAGAAAGTATTAGCAAACATATTTATGAAACATTTCTCGCCCTTTTTGTTTAACTTTTTTATACTAAATATCAAAACTCCTATACCAATTGCTATAAACATACAAAAAAAAATATTTATAAACTCTCCTATTTCTTATTATTGTAAAAGAAAGAAAGATCAATTCAATGCATATGATAAAATGCTTGATACCAATAACATCACAAGTATTTTGAACTAATTTTTGTGTAACGTTATAGTGTGGTAGCAGCATGAGTTTTATGCAAGTGTTTTATTGCGATAGAAGCACGAGTTTTACCCATGTGTCATCAAAATCACATCACGGTTATATCCATAACTATGTGGTCTTCATATTATTTTCCTTTTCATTTTAATTTTCCTTTTATCGAAATTACCCTTTTTTACCCAACCCAGTTTCCTCGTCATTTAACACACCCTGCGATTTAAAGAGGACAAATCCGTAATTTTGAGATTTCAACTAATTTACAACCGTCAAATTGGAAAGTAATAAAAATTAATATTCTTTCTAAAAAATCAAATTTTCGTAACTGAGGTAGTGATATAACTGTTCTGGCACCCAAATGCGTGTGCTTCAGTGCCTGGGCAATTAAAAAGTAGAGTAATGATCCAATGCAATCTCACCTTCCATCATGATCAAATCAAAGATGTCCAATTCCTTCATTCGTTCAAAAATCATCGATGACATTGAAACTTTCGTAGTTTGTTGAATTCTATGCATATAAATCTATTATTTGAGCCCGCTTAGCTCAGAGGTTAAATGCGATGATCATTGGTTCGATTCTAATAGATGGCTTTCTATATTTGTTTGCTTTTTTATTTTTTTACATAATTGATAATATATATTTTTTTGAAATCAAACAAAATTGAAAATGCTTTTTCGCCTCGCGGATCTTCCTATTATAAGGAAGCCTATAGAAGTGAGAATGAGAAGGGGGAAGGGAAATCCTATAGGTTGGATTGCTTGTGTGTCCATGGGACAAATCCCATTTGAAATGGATGGTGTGAATTTGTTAAATGCTCTGAGGCAATTGCTAACATTCTAAGGATGTAATTTTTGAATAATTAGTTGATTGAAATAAAATAAAAAATAAAAATAAAAGTAATTTATGTTTGATAATATAAATAATTTTAAGTATAATGTGTATTTAATGTGTTTGAAAAAAAAAAAAAGAGAGAAGTTTTAAAATTAGAATAATAATAATGAAGTTAATTTGTTTTGATAAATTTAATTTAATTTAATTTAAATTTATTTGATCATCTATTAATAATTTTAAAATCCACATATTATATGTATATGCATACATAATTTAAAAGGTAGAGCTAATAGATTATATTTTTATAAGTTGGAAAGTGTATATATTTTTAATAAATGTAATTCAAGAGTTAAAATTATTTTATTTATTAATAATGGGAATCAACGTTGTATTATTTTTATATGAAATTTAATTAAGAGTAATTTAAGATAAATAATAAAAAAAAACACAATCAATTTATTTTTGAATTAAAAATGCATCAAATAAAATAAAATTCATTTCTTGTATTACACAAGATAATTTTTTAAGATTATACACTCGTAAATAATATAAGTCATTCATATCGAATATTTTATTTTTTTCAAAAACTTTAATTTTTATATATTTGTATAAATAAATAATTATGCCAATTAACAAAATTTTCAAGAAATAATTATTGCCATGCCACTATAGTATGGTAAAACTAATTTGTCTTGGTTCAAACTTTTTATTTTAGATAAGTTTTGGCTTACTTTAATAAAAAAAAAAAAAAAGTAGTTGCTTTTTATTAAATATATTTAGTACCATTCCCATATCATAGATTTATATACTTAGTCTATATTTAATACATAGATTTTATATTTTATCTGTAAATGATAAGAGGAGATCATTTCATTAATAAGCAAATATCTATTTTTAAAATAAATATATAAAATTTAATATTTTAATAAAATTACATATTAATGAGGAGATAACATCTGATTTATTTCTTTAATGAGATTATATAATTCATTCATAGTATATAAAATTTATACATTATAATCAAATAAAATATAAACCCTTAAATAATTATAGAAAAAAATCTCAATCATTCAAAAACTTTTCATGCATATTGTGAATAAATTACTAATTAATTTAATAATATTGCTCCTATTAACCTTAATTTTTAAAAAATTAGTCATCTAAATTGACCAAGTGGACGGTGGAGATGTGGTAAAGCAGCGTAATCGTGGAAACCACGATGCAGAGGACACAAATTAAGGCAAAGACAGACGGGTGGTCCTGGGGGGTTTATTTCAGTCTCTTTTTAGTTTTTTCGTGTGAGAGTTAAAAAACGAGAAAGGAGATTTGTATTTGACAGTCTCTTTGAGTTTTAGGGTTTCTATCTTTCATTTGCTCTCCAAATTTCAGGTATTTTTTTTCTGTGAAACCTGTTTGGTTGCAGTGTTTTTGTCTCGTGTTTTTCTTCGTTGGACTTTTTTTTACTGGTTTTTTGATGTATTTTTGAAAGGTCCTTTGTTTTTGATGTATTTTTGATGGTTTTTTACTTGCTTTTGGACTTTGCAATGCTGCTTCAATGGGTGGCTTTTTTCAAGGATTTTCTTCTTTTTTGAGTATGATCTGATCTTCGTTGCCATTTTTTTGTTTCTAGTTTTTCAATAAACACTTCAAGTTTGCAACTTTTTTGCTGCTTTTTTTTTTTTTTTTTTCTATTTTTAAAGACTGTAGTTTTTCGTCAGTGTAGAGCATATTTCTATTTTGAAAGATGTATACCTTTCGTAACCTTTGTTATTTTATTTTATTATTCAGTTCTTTTATAGTAAAAAAGGTTTCTTTTTTGTCATCTTGTAATCAAGCCATTTAGAAAGTTGTTACATTTTTGCTTCAGTTGGGATTTTTAACTCCGTTTACAAGTTTTTTGTCGCTTCATGTACTCTTTCTCTGCAGTTATAGTCTTTTACTGTCTCTTGATGTGCTAAAGGTATTTACGTTTCGGTATTTTTTTCCTTCTATCCCTTAATGATGCAATATATTTGGTTAAAGTTTTGACTTTTATGCTAAAAACAGCACCTTTTTGCCTCTTCATGTTAACCATTTTAGTGCACAGCAGCATTAGTGCCTCTGGGTTCAAGCTCATATTCTTAAAGGTTCCCTTTTTTTTTTTTTTTTGGTACTCTAAGGGTTTCTTTTACTTTTTTTTTTTTTTTTTCCTTTGTGCTTATTTCTCTATTTTTTTTTTCTTGTGTAAGTTCCAGCATTCATCAACATACGCTTTATTTATTTATTTTTTTGCTACAGATCCTCTGATTTTAGGTAATATTTGCATCCTTTGTAAAACACGTCTTTCATTTGCATCCATGTGGTTTTTAAGCATTTTGTTAGGAAAAAAAAAATCTCATTTTTAAATATTATATAGTTTTGGTGCCTTGACTTTGTTTCTTTTTTGGCGTATGAGCATATTGACTTTGTTTCCCTTTGTGGCGTATGAGTATATTGCCAGAAAAAAAAATTGTATAGATGGATGAGTTTCAAGATTGTGATATGTCAAGGTTAATTGCTTTTAGTCTTTTCGTTTTTGTTGAAAATAAATATTTTATCAAGTTAAAAGTATGAATTACACTTTTCTGCACGAAATGGTTATAGCTAATCTTTTCTGCGTGAAATGATACTATTACGTACTTACTTTTTGGGAATTTGTGTTGTTGCTAATAGTATTTTTATTTTCTTTCACGTAAGAAAAATTTTCTTGGTTGGGATATGGACTCGTCTGAGAAAGAGGGAAGTGGGGCAACGGGCTCTCTTCCCCCTCCCCCGCCTCTGCCCCCCAATGTGGTACCAATCAAAGCAGAATCTGAGCCTGCAAAGGAGGTTTCACGTGTCCCAATGGCCGGGAAAGGTCTTGGATCCCATATAATAGTTTGTCGTTTTTTGCTTGATTCTGTATTTCTATTTCTTAAAGGTGTTTGTTTCTAATCTTACTTTGGATTGCACTTGCTCCTATTTGGTATGCGCATTTGGCAGCTTCGCAGTTGGGGACTTTCCTGAAGTTTGATGAGGCTCCTGAGACATCCTCAAGCCGTAGTGGGGCGACTGCTCCTGAGACATCCTCAAGCCGTGGTGGGGTGACTGCTCCTGGAGCCACACCTGTTCGGCAGCTGCCGTGGTTGAACAGGACTGTCGCCGATTCTATGTTCTTCTGCTGAGACCTTCGGACCATGCTTTCTATAGGCTTTTGGTTTTACCACCAACTGATCTGAAACTCTTTTTAAGTATATTTAAACTTTAGAGGTAGGGCTATCCCAGACTTGTTCTGATGATGATGTGCTGTTCTCTGAATCATCATCCGCCATGTTTTCTATAGGCTTTTGGTTTTACCACCAACTGATCTGAAACTCTTTTTAAGTATATTTAAACTTTAGAGGTAGGGCTATCCCAGACTTGTTCTGATGATGATGTGCTGTTCTCTGAATCATCATCCATTTTGGTTATAAACTTTTTGGATGGTTGGCCCCCCACCGTATCTAAAGATATGAATGCTTGACTAGGTAATTCACAGTGGCTTTTTCCTGTTTGGTTTAGAGAAGTGGTTATACTACTGCCCTTTACTCTGTTCTCTTATTTACCGTTAGGCTTGGGTATCAGTTAACCAGTTAGATGTGGCTTCCGAGTAACTACTTTTGTTGGTTTCTGATGCTTAGAAAACTATACCATTTCGTTATTACTTCCCTATTATATAACGTAATGCTTTTCCAAGTCGCTGGTAAATCAAAATTGGAATTGGCCCAATTAACCGAATTAGAAGCCTTTGCGCAATTTGCTTCTGATCTCGATAAAGCTACTCAGAATCGATTGGCAAGAGGTCAACGATTACGTGAGTTGCGAGAATGAGTTATATTTCTAGCTTATTTAACTTTTCAGGAAAGAGTTTGTTCGTTTTGGGTATATATACTACTGCCCTTTACTCTGTTCTCTTGTTTACTGTTAGGGTTGGTTATCAGTTACTTAACCAGTTAGATGTGGCTTCTGAGTAACTACTTTTGTTGGTTTCTGATGCTTAGAAAACTATACCATTTCGTTATTACTTCTCTATTATATAATGTAATGCTTTTCTGTGGCAAGAATGAGTTATATTTCTAGCTTATTTAACTTTTCAGGAAAGAGTTTGTTGGTTTTGGTAGGAAAAAAAATAGCATACAAAAATTTATCGACAATACTCCCTCTTAAAAACGAATCTCTACTGTTTCACGTAGCAAAGAAAAAAGAAACACCAATATTTCAAAGGAGTCTCCATTTCAAAACGATGGCAACCGTAACAAGCAGGATCAACTTTCCAGAATTGTTTGTTGCTCATTTAGGAACATAGATTATTTAAATTTATGATGTTAAACTTGTTTAAATTTTAGAACTAGGCTGCCTTTCATGGTTTGTCAAAAAAAATGGTGATTTTAGATATTTTTAGTATTTTCAATGCTTAGAGAGAGTATACTTTTAAATTTGTTCAGTTTTTACTTATTTAAGTGTGTAGATAGTTTAAATTTTTCATGTCAAATTTATCTCATGGGTAGAATTATGTTGTCTTACTTGATTTGTTATTAACTTGGATGAATTTATGGCTTTTTGGAACTTTTAATGACTATCAAGGGTAAATTCTCAAGCATTTGTAGTTGTTTCTTATTTATGCACATTGATAGCTTAGGTTTATGATATTAATTTTGCTTAAATATTATAACAATTCTCACTCGTTCCGCTTGACGAAAATTTTTGTGATTTGAGTCTTTTTAAGCATTCTTTACGCCTTAAAAATTTTAAGCCAAGTTTCTTTGCTCTCTCTCTCTCTCTTTTTAAGTATGTAGACAACTTAAACTTGATATTTAAACTTACTCAAATGTTAAATAAGGTTATGAGATTTTTTTTTTTTTCACTATCATTCTTAAAATTTTTAGTTATTAGAATCGATTATTGGTTGAATTACAAGAAGAATTTTTATTGGTTGAGTTTGGTAAAGTGAGATTTTGTATATATTACATATTTTTAAAGCATTAATATTTCTACTCCCTATTGACACCCAATTTTATCAGAGATGAATGATTTTCGATTGATTTTTCAGCCTAGTTGGCACATTTTAATTTAAACTTATTTTAACATTTTAATCAAAAATTTCATATTGGGCTTTGATGGGCTTTATCTTAGGATTATTTTTCCTTAGGGATTTATTTTATTTGGGCTTGAAACCAATTTTGAATTATGGTTAAAGGATTTTCTCCCTCTTTTTTTCATAGTAAAAAGGCATGAGCAAATAAATACAAAAAGAAAGTATTAGCAAACATATTTATGAAACATTTCTCGCCCTTTTTGTTTAACACATTTATACTAAATGTCAAAACTCCTATACCAATTGCTATAAACATACAAAAAAAATATTTATAAACTCTCATATTTCTTATTATTGTAAAAGAAAGAAAGATCAATTCAACGCAAAGGATAAAATGCTTGATACCAATAACATCACAAGTATTTTGAACTAATTTTTGTGTAACGTTATAGTGTGGTAGCAGCATGAGTTTTATGCAAGTGTTTTATTGCGATAGAAGCACGAGTTTTACCCATGTGTCATCAAAATCACATCACGGTTATATCCATAACTATGTGGTCTTCATATTATTTTCCTTTTCATTTTAATTTTCCTTTTATCGAAATTACCCTTTTTTACCCAACCCAGTTTCCTCGTCATTTAACACACCCTGCGATTTAAAGAGGACAAATCCGTAATTTTGAGATTTCAACTAATTTACAACCGTCAAATTGGAAAGTAATAAAAATTAATATTCTTTCTAAAAAATCAAATTTTCGTAACTGAGGTAGTGATATAACTGTTCTGGCACCCAAATGCGTGTGCTTCAGTGCCTGGGCAATTAAAAAGTAGAGTAATGATCCAATGCAATCTCACCTTCCATCATGATCAAATCAAAGATGTCCAATTCCTTCATTCGTTCAAAAATCATCGATGACATTGAAACTTTCGTAGTTTGTTGAATTCTATGCATATAAATCTATTATTTGAGCCCGCTTAGCTCAGAGGTTAAATGCGATGATCATTGGTTCGATTCTAATAGATGGCTTTCTATATTTGTTTGCTTTTTTATTTTTTTACATAATTGATAATATATATTTTTTTGAAATCAAACAAAATTGAAAATGCTTTTTCGCCTCGCGGATCTTCCTATTATAAGGAAGCCTATAGAAGTGAGAATGAGAAGGGGGAAGGGAAATCCTATAGGTTGGATTGCTTGTGTGTCCATGGGACAAATCCCATTTGAAATGGATGGTGTGAATTTGTTAAATGCTCTGAGGCAATTGCTAACATTCTAAGGATGTAATTTTTGAATAATTAGTTGATTGAAATAAAATAAAAAATAAAAATAAAAGTAATTTATGTTTGATAATATAAATAATTTTAAGTATAATGTGTATTTAATGTGTTTGAAAAAAAAAAAAAGAGAGAAGTTTTAAAATTAGAATAATAATAATGAAGTTAATTTGTTTTGATAAATTTAATTTAATTTAATTTAAATTTATTTGATCATCTATTAATAATTTTAAAATCCACATATTATATGTATATGCATACATAATTTAAAAGGTAGAGCTAATAGATTATATTTTTATAAGTTGGAAAGTGTATATATTTTTAATAAATGTAATTCAAGAGTTAAATATTTATAAAGGAAAAAAGAGTTAAAATTATTTTATTTATTAATAATGGGAATCAACGTTGTATTATTTTTATATGAAATTTAATTAAGAGTAATTTAAGATAAATAATAAAAAAAAACACAATCAATTTATTTTTGAATTAAAAATGCATCAAATAAAATAAAATTCATTTCTTGTATTACACAAGATAATTTTTTAAGATTATACACTCGTAAATAATATAAGTCATTCATATCGAATATTTTATTTTTTTCAAAAACTTTAATTTTTATATATTTGTATAAATAAATAATTATGCCAATTAACAAAATTTTCAAGAAATAATTATTGCCATGCCACTATAGTATGGTAAAACTAATTTGTCTTGGTTCAAACTTTTTATTTTAGATAAGTTTTGGCTTACTTTAATAAAAAAAAAAAAAAAGTAGTTGCTTTTTATTAAATATATTTAGTACCATTCCCATATCATAGATTTATATACTTAGTCTATATTTAATACATAGATTTTATATTTTATCTGTAAATGATAAGAGGAGATCATTTCATTAATAAGCAAATATCTATTTTTAAAATAAATATATAAAATTTAATATTTTAATAAAATTACATATTAATGAGGAGATAACATCTGATTTATTTCTTTAATGAGATTATATAATTCATTCATAGTATATAAATTTATACATTATAATCAATAAAATATAAACCCTTAAATAATTATAGAAAAAAATCTCAATCATTCAAAAACTTTTCATGCATATTGTGAATAAATTACTAATTAATTTAATAATATTGCTCCTATTAACCTTAATTTTTAAAAAATTAGTCATCTAAATTGACCAAGTGGACGGTGGAGATGTGGTAAAGCAGCGTAATCGTGGAAACCGCGATGCAGAGGACACAAATTAAGGCAAAGACAGACGGGTGGTCCTGGGGGTTTATTTCAGTCTCTTTTTAGTTTTTCGTGTGAGAGTTAAAAAACGAGAAAGGAGATTTGTATTTGACAGTCTCCTTGAGTTTTAGGGTTTCTATCTTTCATTTGCTCTCCAAATTTCAGGTATTTTTTTTCTGTGAAACCTGTTTGGTTGCAGTGTTTTTGTCTCGTGTTTTTCTTCGTTGGACTTTTTTTTACTGGTTTTTTGATGTATTTTTGAAAGGTCCTTTGTTTTTGATGTATTTTTGATGGTTTTTTACTTGCTTTTGGACTTTGCAATGCTGCTTCAATGGGTGGCTTTTTCAAGGATTTTCTTCTTTTTTGAGTATGATCTGATCTTCGTTGCCATTTTTTTGTTTCTAGTTTTTCAATAAACACTTCAAGTTTGCAACTTTTTTGCTGCTTTTTTTTTTTTTTTCTATTTTTAAAGACTGTAGTTTTTCGTCAGTGTAGAGCATATTTCTATTTTGAAAGATGTATACCTTTCGTAACCTTTGTTATTTTATTTTATTATTCAGTTCTTTTATAGTAAAAAAGGTTTCTTTTTTGTCATCTTGTAATCAAGCCATTTAGAAAGTTGTTACATTTTTGCTTCAGTTGGGATTTTTAACTCCGTTTACAAGTTTTTTGTCGCTTCATGTACTCTTTCTCTGCAGTTATAGTCTTTTACTGTCTCTTGATGTGCTAAAGGTATTTACGTTTCGGTATTTTTTCCTTCTATCCTTAATGATGCAATATATTTGGTTAAAGTTTTGACTTTTATGCTAAAAACAGCACCTTTTTGCCTCTTCATGTTAACCATTTTAGTGCACAGCAGCATTAGTGCCTCTGGGTTCAAGCTCATATTCTTAAAGGCTCCCTTTTTTTTTTTTTTGGTACTCTAAGGGTTTCTTTTCTTTTTTTTTTTTTTTCCTTTGTGCTTATTTCTCTATTTTTTTTTCTTGTGTAAGTTCCAGCATTCATCAACATACGCTTTATTTATTTATTTTTTTGCTACAGATCCTCTGATTTTTAGGTAATATTTGCATCCTTTGTAAACACGTCTTTCATTTGCATCCATGTGGTTTCTTAAGCATTTTGTTAGGAAAAAAAAATCTCATTTTTAAATATTATATAGTTTTGGTGCCTTGACTTTGTTTCTTTTTTGGCGTATGAGCATATTGACTTTGTTTCCCTTTGTGGCGTATGAGTATATTGCCAGAAAAAAAAATTGTATAGATGGATGAGTTTCAAGATTGTGATATGTCAAGGTTAATTGCTTTTAGTCTTTTCGTTTTTGTTGAAAATAAATAATTTATCAAGTTAAAAGTATGAATTACTTTTTTCTGCACGAAATGGTTATAGCTAATCTTTTTCTGCGTGAAATGATACTATTACGTACCTTACTTTTTAGGGAATTTGTGTTGTAGCTAATAGTATTTTTATTTTCTTTCACGTAAGAAAAATTTTCTTGGTTGGGATATGGACTCGTCTGAGAAAGAGGGAAGTGGGGCAACGGGCTCTCTTCCCCCTCCCCCGCCTCTGCCCCCCAATGTGGTACCAATCAAAGCAGAATCTGAGCCTGCAAAGGAGGTTTCACGTGTCCCAATGGCCGGGAAAGGTCTTGGATCCCATATAATAGTTTGTCGTTTTTTGCTTGATTCTGTATTTCTATTTCTTAAAGGTGTTTGTTTCTAATCTTACTTTGGATTGCACTTGCTCCTATTTGGTATGCGCATTTGGCAGCTTCGCAGTTGGGGACTTTCCTGAAGTTTGATGAGGCTCCTGAGACATCCTCAAGCCGTAGTGGGGCGACTGCTCCTGAGACATCCTCAAGCCGTGGTGGGGTGACTGCTCCTGGAGCCACACCTGTTCGGCAGCTGCCGTGGTTGAACAGGACTGTCGCCGATTCTATGTTCTTCTGCTGAGACCTTCGGACCATGCTTTCTATAGGCTTTTGGTTTTAACCACCAACTGATCTGAAACTCTTTTTAAGTATATTTAAACTTTTAGAGGTAGGGCTATCCCAGACTTGTTCTGAATGATGATGTGCCTGTTCTCTGAATCATCATCCGCCATGTTTTCTATAGGCTTTTGGTTTTACCAACCAACTGATCTGAAACCTCTTTTTAAGTATATTTAAACTTTAGAGGTAGGGCTATCCCAGACTTGTTCTGATGATGATGTGCTGTTCTCTGAATCATCATCCATTTTGGTTATAAACTTTTTGGATGGTTGGCCCCCACCGTATCTAAAGATATGAATGCTTGACTAGGTAATTCACAGTGGCTTTTTTCCTGTTTGGTTTAGAGAAGTGGTTATACTACTGCCTTTACTCTGTTCTCTTATTTACCGTTAGGCTTGGGTATCAGTTAACCAGTTAGATGTGGCTTCCGAGTAACTACTTTTGTTGGTTTCTGATGCTTAGAAAACTATACCATTTCGTTATTACTTCCCTATTATATAACGTAATGCTTTTCCAAGTCGCTGGTAAATCAAAATTGGAATTGGCCCAATTAACCGAATTAGAAGCCTTTGCGCAATTTGCTTCTGATCTCGATAAAGCTACTCAGAATCGATTGGCAAGAGGTCAACGATTACGTGAGTTGCGAGAATGAGTTATATTTCTAGCTTATTTAACTTTTCAGGAAAGAGTTTGTTCGTTTTGGGTATATATACTACTGCCCTTTACTCTGTTCTCTTGTTTACTGTTAGGGTTGGTTATCAGTTACTTAACCAGTTAGATGTGGCTTCTGAGTAACTACTTTTTGTTGGTTTCTGATGCTTAGAAAACTATACCATTTCGTTATTACTTCTCTATTATATAATGTAATGCTTTTCTGTGGCAAGAATGAGTTATATTTCTAGCTTATTTAACTTTTCAGGAAAGAGTTTGTTGGTTTTGGTAGGAAAAAAAATAGCATACAAAAATTATCGACAATACTCCCCTTAAAAACGAATCTCTACTGTTTCACGTAGCAAGAAAAAAGAAACAACAAGTATTCAAAGGAGTCTCCATTTTCAAAACGATGGCAACCGTAACAAGCAGGATCAACTTTCCAGAATTGTTTGTTGCTCATTTAGGAACATAGATTATTTAAATTTATGATGTTAAACTTGTTTAAATTTTAGAACTAGGCTGCCTTTCATGGTTTGTCAAAAAAAATGGTGATTTTAGATATTTTTAGTATTTCAATGCTTAGAGAGAGTATACTTTTAAATTTGTTCAGTTTTTACTTATTTAAGTGTGTAGATAGTTTAAAATTTTTCATGTCAAATTTATCTCATGGGTAGAATTATGTTGTCTTACTTGATTTGTTATTAACTTGGATGAATTTATGGCTTTTTGGAACTTTTAATGACTATCAAGGGTAAATTCTCAAGCATTTGTAGTTGTTTCTTATTTATCAACATTGATAAGCTTTAGGTTATGATATTAATTTTGCTTAAATATTATAACATTCTCACTCGTTTCCGCTTGATCGAAAATTTTTGTGATTTGAGTCTTTTTAAGCATTCTTTACGCCTTAAAAATTTTAAACCAAGTTCTTTGCTCTCTCTCTCCTCTCTTTTAAGTATGTAGACAACTTAAACTTGATATATTAAACTTACTCAAATGTTAAATAAGGTTATGAGATTTTTTTTTTTCACTATCATTCTTAAAATTTTAGTTATTAGAATCGATTATTGGTTGAATTACAAGAAGAATTTTTATTGGTTGAGTTTGGTAAAGTGAGATTTTGTATATATTACATATTTTTAAAGCATTAATATTTCTACTCCCTATTGACACCCATTTTATCAGAGATGAATGATTTTCGATTGATTTTTCAGCCTAGTTGCACATTTTAATTTAAACTTATTTTAACATTTTAATCAAAATTTCATATTGGGCTTTGATGGGCTTTATCTTAGGATTATTTTTCCTTAGGGATTTATTTTATTTGGGCTTGAAACCAATTTTGAATTATGGTTAAAGGATTTTCCTGCCTCTTTTTTCATAGTAAAAAGGCATGAGCAAATAAACACAAAAAGAAAAGTATTAGCAAACATATTTATGAACATTTCTTCGCCCTTTTTGTTTAACTTTTTTATACTAAATATCAAAACTCCTATACCAATTGCTATAAACATACAAAAAAAAATATTTATAAACTCTCCCTATTTCTATTATTGTAAAAGAAAGAAAGATCAATTCAATGCATATGATAAAATGCTTGATACCAATACATCACAGTATTTTGAACTAATTTTTGTGGTAACGTTATAGTGTGGTAGCAGCATGAGTTTTATGCAAGTGTTTTATTGCGATAGAAGCACGAGTTTTACCCATGTGTCATCAAAAATCACATCACGGTTATATCCATAACTATGTGGTCTTCATATTATTTTCCTTTTCATTTTAAATTTTCCTTTTATCGAAATTACCGCTTTTTTACCGCACCCAGTTTCCTCGTCATTTAACACACCCTGCGATTTAAAGAAGGACAAATCCGTAATTTTGAGATTTCACTAATTTACAACCGTCAAATTGGAAAGTAATAAAAATTAATATTCTTTCTAAAAAATCAAATTTCGTAACTGAGGTAGTGATATAACTGTTCTGGCACCCAAATGCGTGTGCTCAGTGCCTGGGCAATTAAAGTAGAATAATGATCCAATGCAATCTCACCTTCCATCATGATCAAATCAAAGATGTCCAATTCTTCATTCGTCAAAAATCATCGATGACATTGAAACTTTCGTAGTTGTTGAATCTATGCATATAAATCTATTATTTGAGCCCGCTTAGCTCAGAGGTTAATGCGATGATCATTGGTTCGATTCTAATAGATGGCTTTTCTATATTGTTTGCTTTTTTATTTTTTTACATAATTGATAATATATATTTTTTTGAAATCAAACAAAATTGAAAATGCTTTTTCGCCTCGCGGATCTTCCTATTATAAGGAAGCCTATAGAAGTGAGAATGAGAAGGGGGAAGGAAATTCCTATAGGTTGGATTGCTTGTGTGTCCATGGGACAAATCCCATTTGAAATGGATGGTGGTGAATTTGTTAATGCCTCTGAGGCAATTTGTTAACATTCTAAGGATGTAATTTTTGAATATTAGTTGATTGAAATAAAAATAAAAATAAAATAAAAGTAATTTATGTTTGATAATATAAATAATTTTAAGTATAATGTGTATTTAATGTGTTTGAAAAAAAAAAAAAGAGAGAAGTTTTAAAAATTAGAATAATAATAATGAAGTTAATTTGTTTTGATAAATTTAATTAATTTAATTTAAATTTATTGATCATACTATTAATAATTTTAAAATCCACATATTATAATGTATATGCATACATAATTTAAAAGGTAGAGCTAATAGATTATATTTTAATAAGTTGGAAAGTGTATATATTTTTAATAAATGTAATTCAAGAGTTAAATATTTATAAAGGAAAAAAGAGTTAAAATTATTTTATTTATTAATAATGGGAATCAACGTTGTATTATTTTTATATGAAATTTAATTAAGAGTAATTTAAGATAAATAATAAAAAAAAAACACAATCAATTTATTTTGAATTAAAAATGCATCAAATAAAATAAAATTCATTTCTTGTATTACACAAGATAATTTTTTAAGATTATACACTCGTAAATAATATAAGTCATTCATATCGAATATTTTATTTTTTTCAAAACTTTAAATTTTTATATATTTGTATAAATAAATTAATTATGCCAATTAACAAAATTTTCAAGAAATAATTATTGCCATGCCACTATAGTATGGTAAAACTAATTTGTTCTTGGTTCAAACTTTTTTATTTTAGATAAGTTTTGGCTTACTTAATAAAAAAAAAAAGTAGTTGCTTTTTATTAAATATATTTAGTACCATTCCATATCATGAGATTTATATACTTAGTCCTATATTTAATACACAGATTTTATATTTTATCTGTAAATGATAAGAGGGAGATCATTTCATTAATAAGCAAATATCTATTTTAAAATAATATATAAAATTTAATATTTTAATAAAATTACATATTAATGAGGAGATAACATCTGATTTATTTCTTTAATGAATTATATAATTCATTCATAGTATATAAAATTTATACATTATAATCAAATAAAATATAAACCCTTAAATAATTATAGAAAAAAATCTCAATCATTCAAAACTTTTCATGCATATTGTGAATAATTAGTAATTAATTTAATAATATTGCTCCTATTAACCTTAAATTTTTAAAAAATTGTCATCTAAATTGACCAAGTGGACGGTGGAGATGGGTAAAGAGCGTAATCCGTGGAAACCGCGATGCAGAGGACACAATTAAGGCAAAGACAGACGGGTGGTCTAGGGGGTTTATTTCAGTCTCTTTTTAGTTTTTTCGTGTGAGAGTTAAAAACGAGAAAGGAGATTTGTATTCGACAGTCTCTTTGAGTTTTAGGGTTTCTATCTTTCATTTGCTCTCACAAATTTTCAGGTATTTTTTTTTTCTGTGAAACCCTGTTTGGTTGCAGTGTTTTTGTCTCGTGTTTTTTCTTCGTTGGACTTTTTTTTACTGGTTTTTTTGATGTATTTTTGAAAGGTCTTTGTTTTTGATGTATTTTTGATGGTTTTTTACTTGCTTTTGGACTTTGCAATGCTGCTTCAATGGGTGGGCTTTTTCAAGGATTTTCTTCTTTTTTGAGTATGATCTGATCTTCGTTGCCATTTTTTTTGTTTCTAGTTTTTCAATAACACTTCAAGTTTGCAACTTTTTTGCTGTTTTTTTTTTTTTTCTATTTTTAAAGACTGTAGTTTTTCGTCAGTGTAGAGCATATTTCTATTTTGAAAGATGTATACCTTTCGTAACCTTTGTTATTTTTATTTATTATTCAGTTCTTTTATAGTAAAAAAGGTTTCTTTTTTGTCATCTTGTAATCAAGCCATTTAGAAAGTTGTTACAT